AGGGGGGAGTATCACCTCTCTGAACCGACTTGAGATGCACCTTTGGATGCATGGCAAGGTATGGCGGGCCTTGCGGGCTGCGGTCTGGCATTGGCGGCTCATGTTCATTTTGGAGTCAATAATGACACCAACATCTCTTTCCGCCCCTGTGCTTTTAAGAGGGGAACTCCCCAGCCTGTATGTATGCTGTGGATTCCTTCTCCCAAGGTGCAGCACCCTGCATTTGTCTACATTGAACCCCATCCTATTACCATCTGCCCACTTTTATAGTCTAAATCTATTTGCAGCCTCTCTCTCCCTTCAAGTGTGTTCACCTCGCCCCACATCTTAGTGTCATCAGCAAACTTGGACAGCATGCTTTCCACCCCATCATCCAAGTCGCTGATGAAGATGTTAAACAGTGTGGGCCCAAGGATTGAGCCCTGGAGTACCCCACTGCTCACATCTCACCAGACTGAGTACAACCCATCCACCACTACTCTCTGGGTGCATCCCCCATCAGCCAATTTTTTACCCATCCAACTGTGTAGGCATCAATGCCACAGTTGCTTTAATTTATTGATGAGGATAGTCGCTTAATTATTAATTCAGCATTTCTCAACCCGTGGGTTGCAAGAACATATGAGGGTTGTGAACAAAAAAAAACTTTAAAAATTGATTCTCCTTTAAAGAAGAAAAACACGAGAAACCATGGCTTTTCCTTTACAGGCTGTCACTTCCAGCCTGCAGACTGCTTAGGGCCCCCCATGCCTCCCACACCCCCACCCTCTTCCCCACACACTGGGAGGCAGAGGCCCAGGGGCAGCAGGTCAGGACTGAGGGGCACGGGCCAAAGTTTGCAAATGGGTTCTGGTACAAAAAAGGTTGAGAACCACAGCTTTAATTCATTTCTTGGATTAGTATCAACAAGGGTATGGGACTGAAGATCAGAAAGCCAACTATGACCAGTACTTCAAACATTACACATCTTATACATTCATAGATAGATATCCATCTCTTAGCCTCTTTAGTAGTCAGGTCTCATTAAATCAGACAGTAGAAAAATTACACAGAAGTTGTAACCTTGATAGGTTCCTCACCCTCCATATGATTTTAGCAAACAATGATGATTCTATTTAGCACAACATGTGGCATAACACTTGCAGTGACTTATAAATTACTAAACACAAAAAGTTGCAAATGTTGACTTTATATTTCACAATAATATTAAATGCCATTTGCCAAAGTTGAATATAGTTTCTAACTTTAGTTGAATGTATTCTAATGTATCAACATAATCCTGATTAATACAGTAAGAGATTCCATATTGCTTCAAGGTAGGCACCAGATTATATGCTGCAGTCTCTTAATTAAAAATAACCCATTTCAACCTTTTTAGATGGTATCTTGAACAGCAAATTCAAACAGTGATAATATCCTATTCACATTCTTTTAAATATACCCCTGGCAACAATAATCAGTTTAATCAAACTCATTAGTCAAAGCTGAAGAGAGAAATGTTATGTTTTATCAATATAAACAAAGCAGCAAAAGATTGCTATATATACATGTTTAAAAAAAAAAAATCACTGGTCTGAAAACACGCATAACTTGCGATATATAATGTACAATAAAGAAAGCAGTATCTTTTGTGGAACACACTGCACAGTTAAACCAACCCATTTCTGGAAAGTCATCATTCCACTTATTTGTTAAAGTGGAAGTATTAACAATCTTTGGCAGTGGTCTTCCTCTACTTCCACATCACCCCCACCTCTCCAATTCCTCCACTATCTTCTGCCTTATGTCAGGAATTCTTCATCCTCAGATTTTTCTTCATTCTCCACAACAACTTTTTTTACTCCATCCTTTCTTGCATCTTTTGTTGCCTCCTATTTTCAGCTTTGTACCTTTAATTTTTATAATGCAGCCTCTTCCAACAAGAAGCAGCGTCAACGTAGTATACCAAAAAGTCACCTCTGCCAAAGCATCTTCTACTTACTTTTCAACAATAATCACAATTAAATGATACCAAAACTGGTTTTACTATTTAATTCTTCAATTATGTCATCTAACAGAGTGCTTCAGGCCATTCACTTTGTTTATTATGATTTGAATTATCAAGTACAATGGACAGTCAGGAAATAAGTTGCTTAGGAGAATGTGGTCATTTAACACATTGGTTTATATCTCCTTCTAGAGAAATATTTTCAAGTTATAAAAGAACTATTTTCCTACATCAGGCTACACAAGCTAACAAAGCCTTCTCTTAAAAGTATGCAAGAAAATACAAGTCTTGATTACAGCAAGATTTTCCAACACAAACAATTATGACTTCTCAAACTATTCATTCTGTAACCAAAATCAGTATGATAAAACGAGTCTTATTAAGACAATACAATGTTTCTCATCTCTTCTTTGGGATGCTTCTAGTCTTTAAAAATAGTCCCAATAGTTTGACACTGGTAATACATACATATTTAGCTGTCAATTATAGGTTTCAAATATTTCCTCTTTGTCAACACAGTTGCAGTATCTAATTTTATTTCCCCGTCTCACTCACATATTTTAAGATATTAACAGAATCTCTATTGAAAGACACTGTTGAAACCAAAACCAAACACATTAGGTGTTAAGGTTAAGAGAGGCGTAACTACGAACCTGCCAGAAGTATTTGACAGCAATGACAAGCAAAATTTCACATCAACTTTTATCAAACAAAGTCTTTGCCTGCTGTTTAAGTCTCTACCTATTTGTTTTTAATCATCATCAAATCTTCAGACCAAGTAAAAAAAAAAAGTGCAAACAAATGTCCATACACAATATTATGATTACAAGAGTCCTCCCAAAATTTCTGTGCAGTAGTAAAGGAAACAAATTATTCAGAGAAGTAATGGCTGGTAATTCAAGGGCAAAACTCTCCTCTCTGCTTACAAAAAAAACTTATGCTATAAATCTGATATAATTAGTTAATGATATCTGAATCCTCCTTGCCTTTTGCCTACATCTATATATATACACACACACCAGTTCTGAGGTGCACATTTAATCTGGCTATGACAGTATTTACAGCGGTATCTGTAAATGGACGCTGTCAGATTAAACGCATGTGGAAGAAAGCAACAAATATCCCAATTTATAAGGCTTTAATTGTAATGCATTTCCAAAGCTTAATTTTAGAAACTATATTAACCTTTTACTGCTGTCTCCCTTATTTACAATTATATAGTCAGTTTAGCATATGACCATATTTAATAATTTTAACTTTTAAATGCTCCTTCATTAGCATAATACTTTTTTCCCTAGGTTGCAACTACTACAGTAGAACGTAGTTTTGTGAAAAAACACTTTCCATTTGTACTTGACCAAAATAATGTAAATAGTGGCCTTCATGTTAACTTCTGTGAAGCCTTCACTTTAGAAAATCTAAATAGAAATCCCAATTTTACATCAGGAACCCTTTATGTCATCCTAAAAGGAAACTGGATTGCATGTGCTAGTCAGTCTTGTTACACAAAACAGGAGCAGAACATCTCAAAAAGTTTGTCCCCTCTGAAGCTAGAGACAGTGACAGCCAGGACATTAAATCTGCTTCTCCTCTACTAAGAGTAACCAATAGGAAATTAGCAACTCTCCCTTTAAACAGAATGAAGCAGCAAAATGAAAATCAAGGCTCATTTTTAAAAAGCATTATGTAAAGGGGTAGAAAATGCACAAGAATACAAGTGTTTTAGGACTAATCTTTTTTCATTAAAGCCGAACAGATTTTTAAATGGTTCCTACCATTCCAAACACCAAGTCTAAGTCTAAATGCCTTTTCTGTTGCCAATATTGTGCTTAAGACCACAGACTGTTTATTTGTCTCAAGACAAATAAACCATACATATCATGTAATAATATTTCTAAACAGATACATTCCATTTAATTTAAATGTGCAAAAGATAAACCAATAGAAATGTAGGATTCAATACATATTGTATAAATGCACCTGAAGAAGTGTGCGCTCTAGCTTATTCTCCTTAAAAAGGAATGCAACACCAAGACAAGCTTCACTCTACATTAAAATTGCATATCTTCTATGTGCCCCAGTTTCAGTTGCAATTGATCTGCCTTGTGGTTGTAGATAACAAAACCAGTGAAGGACACTGCAGCTTTAAATATTTCAGAGCTATGTGGCTTGTAAATAGACTCCATTGCAATATGGCTCTGAAGGTCGTGTCCTATTGTCTCTTTTCTCTACAAAATATACTGAACAGCATAAAAATGATCCATTATAGAATACATGACCACCATATCTAAATCATGTCAAATGTATTAGAGATTTCCTTATTAGAAAGGACTGGTACAATATTCTTTCCATAGACACCTAGGCTGCTTCTAAATGCATTAAAAACCTAGACCGTGTATTGCACACTTAATTTAAATTTCACCATCTAATTTGTATACATTATGCAAATGAAATCCCTTTTAAACTGCATTTCAGGAGCAAATGTAACCCCTTTAATGGCCAAAAAAAAAAAATTGAACTGAATTTGAGATTCAGAAGCATCCTTGGTTAAAGCATATTTTAGCTAAAAAAATTAAGCCAGCTACTTTACCATCATATAGTTTACCATCATTATATAGCATTTAAAAATACAAATTAAATTATGCATTGAGTACACATAGGAAAGAAAGTCTGTCGAACCTGGGGTTTTCGGGTTGTTGGGGTGGGGGGGCAGGGGGGGTTGGTTTATTTCTTAAGAGCAATTAATTTTCTAAGGTTAAAAACCCTAGAGGAATTTAAATGATATCTTTTCTTCTTTGGTTTAATCATGACTGCCTTACTCAAGGATGCAAGAACTGTATTATGTACAGTTCCTAGGAGGCATATAGGAGGAGGAGGAGAGCACTCAATGCAGGCAGAAGCTATGGAAAAGGTGGAAGTGACATGTTGCCTTTTAGATAGGATGTTGGTGCAGATTGCATCACGCAACCTTGACATACCCATCATCAGTGCGGAAGGTGCGTTAAAACATTACCTGAAAAGGCAACAGATTGTTGCCATTATCCGTCCTGAAAGCGTTGTCTTCCATCCAGGATTTTGGGGTTAAAGGTGCAGCCCGTGGGAATTTTGGAGGGGCAATAACATTGCTGGAAAAGGGTTTTTTGAGAGGTGAAATGGGATTGAGAGGAGAGGGCACTCCAACCCCGACTCCTACGCCAACTCCCACTCCAACTGCCCTTCGAGGGTCCCTGCCAGCTTGCAACCCACCCCAAGGGTTGGAAGGTGTACTCCATGCTGCGTTTTGGTGGTTATTCCAGCTGGAGGAGGAAGAGGAAGAGGCAGAGGAGGAAGACGGCTTGCTGGTCATGATGGGCTGATGGCTGTAAGCAGCATTTCTCTGAGCAAAAGGTGCCTGGTTGGGGCTCACAGGGGACCTCCTTTGCTGCTGCTGTTGCTGTTGCTGAGCTTGCTGCTGTTGATGTTGGTGGTGCTGAGTCTGAGCTAGGCCAATCTGGGGAGAGAAAGTGCCACCAAACACAGGGTTGACATGATGCGGGAAATTCTGGAAAAGCATTGTTCCATTGACTGGAGTAATCCCTTGGAAAAAGCTATCATCCACTGCGTTTGTGGTCCCTGTCGACCAGGTGCTGCCAAAGGAGGGAGACAAGGAGGTGCCAGCTGCAGGTTCTTGCTGAGGCTGGTGAAAGCTCAAGCCAGGCAAGATGGGGGACTCCATCTGCATCTTCTCCTTGCTGTTCTGAGCAGGAGCTGCTGTGCCGATATTAGTCACTGAGCTGCTGTCTTCTGGTTTGGGTGTCTCCGATGAGATGGGTGTAGAAGGGGCTTCTGCTGAGTTTGGATCTTGCTGCTGCTGCCGCTGCTGCTGCTGGGGCTGGGCTTTGCTTTTGTCCATCAGTAAATCATCCTGCATGGTTTGCGCAGCTGAAACAGTAGGGAGAGGGAAACAACACAAAGACAAGTTAACATTTTAATTCATGCTATTAACCGGGTGCTTTGTATTTCGCTAACCTTCCGTTCTGTGCTAGTGCAATGCCTTTTCGAGTTGCAAAGCCAAGCCGTAATCTCCCCCTCCCCCCTCAGTCAGGCATATGCAACGTTTGATCCGTGTGATCGTGCTAGATGGTCTTTAAAATATATTTGAAGATGCTTCACCCTTTTTGATGCCTTGGTTCCCTTCAGTCTAAATGAGAGATGGACTTATAGGGCAGAGATATACAGCAATTTCGCCACGTCTCTTTTCTCTTACACCGGAACTCAGAGCTCTCACCCTGCAATGAGAAACTGATTCTTGTTCCTGTTTTTCCAAGCACCCTCCTCCTCCTCCACCTCCTCCCCGGTTATTTGCATACGTCAATAAATACTGCTGCGTCCTTCAGCAAGGTTAAAAAGACACCAGCCTTTACTCTCCTCCACCCCCTCTCCTATTAGGAGGCTTTTAAAGGAACAGGATGCTCATTTCCCTTAATTAACAAACAGGCTTTCAATTAGTTCATGCAGTAGCACAGAAGCCTGCTCAAAACCTCGAGCCGCCTACGATAGAGGCTCGTCAACCGCCCCAGCGTTTCCTGGCCGCTCCCGGCCGCGGACAGTGACACCACGGCTAGATACCGCCGGGAGTCCCAGCAAGGGGCAGAGCTCGGAGGCGCAGTTCTAGCTGCCCCTAAAGACCATAAGGCTTTTCTGTGCAAGACAGCATTTTACATCCTTGCTGGAGTGTCTCTGCTCACGACGTGCTTTTCGATGCGCGATCATCTCTAGGATAGTGTGTCTTTAGAAAGATTTAGATCAAAATAAAGACCGGGACTGATCAAACCCTTTTCATATATGTGCACACACCTCAAAAGCCACCTTTCCTCTGCATGAGAAGGATTGATTAAAAACTGAGATTTAGATGCGAATCACTAAAAATAACTACTTCAAAGTTTATTAATTACATTTATGTAGCGTGAGCAAATCCTGTATCTGTTTAAAAAGGTACGTCATATATGAAGCCAAGAAAGACAATATTACAGTTATTTGAAAACTCACTAGCACGCTGCCAGCTGTATAGAGGTCGGGGCAGGGAATGCAAGGAACGAGCGCAAACACCCACATCTTGCAGATTTAGACACAGGTCAACATACTTATTCTAAACGTGAATAAGATAGATTTTAAAATAAAAAGCTTGTTTATTTTAAAACTCATTTTGAACTAGTCGTGTCAATAGAGGTAAGCATCTTCAAGCCCTTAATCACATTTTTTATTGTCCTAACCATATGGCGTTTGGATTCCTAAAATCGCTCGTCTTTTAGACTGCTATTTAATTGCGGCAAAATAAACTTGGTGTCAAATTAACAAACAGCTGCTTAGGAAGTTATCAAACTGTGAAGGCACAACAGCCTCCTTCCTTACGTTCCCTATTTGCAAATGCCTAATGCCATTCGCTCAAGATATCCAAAAAGGATTTAAACAACATGGTAACGTCTGATTCAAGACGCACACTTTAGAAAAATGTGACACATCCGATTCCTACCACCAATTAAATTAGGATTTGTTTCCTGCTCTCTCTCTTCAACACGCAAGCTTCACAATAATGGCTTATGAAGAGCCCCTGTAGTGAGCCAGCATTAAGCCAAGTTCCTAGGCAGGGAGCAAAGTATTGCATCTGTAACACGCACCCTGCTGCTCGGGGGCAGGAAGCCGGTGAGGCAGCTCCGAGCAGTACTGCAGTAAGCCATAATATTCCAGGCTCCGTGGAGCTTTCTATCCAAATCCCCACAACTGTCTGGGCTGCACACAACTGCTGACGATTCCATGTGAGAGAGAGAGAAAAGGCCCTTATAATCTTTACCCTGGTTTTGATGCCTCCGTTTAGGAACCCCCCCCCCCGACAAAAATAGAAGAAACATATCGGTGAAAGGTAAAAATTATGCCGTCAATAAAGTATACTTGAAAGACTAAGTCCGAGTCATCTCTAGTGGGTCCCTCCGCAGTTGTTTCAAATGCACATCCTGACTTGGCTATTTGTTTCTGAACTTTGTCCCGAGGACAGTCATCCACACTCGTTTTCACAACGCTCCGTAAAGGTAAAATTTCAGCACAAATTTAACCCTCTAGTCAAGGTCAAGACCTACCTTTAATGAATGAAGCCAGGCGGAATGGAAAAACACTGGATAATAAATGACTGTGAAAACCAGGCCAGCCAATGTCTAATATGTTGGCTTAATATGCGGTGCCTCTTGATTATTTGCTGGTGTAAGTATTTGTGCAATGTTACAGTCCAGTACAAAAAAATCTATATCCCCATAACAATCCCAGCTCCGTCTGCATGCAGTAACCCACGCAGTCCACGCGGAGATTCCTAGGACGACTACCTTTGACTGGTCTGTATTTCAAGATCGATAAAATGACAGTGTATTTATTTCTTCTTTCGGATTTGGTGTATGAGAAACAGACGACTGCTCTGGCAAGAGCACTTTGACAACTGGAAGCTCAGGACGCATGCTCACCCGCGGAATTGTGGGAATTGAAGTCTTACTCGCACTAGACTCTTGCTAGATGCACATTGGAAGAACCGTTCTGAAAATAGAGCTCAGAAACATTCATGCTCCAGGGGGAAGTGGTTGTGGCCCAAATCGGTATATTCTTGTTTTAAATAACTGGTCTGACAGGCTGAACTAGAAATTGGGATTAAAAATTAAAAATCCCTAGCTGTATGATAGATACTTAAAGTTTAGATCAGATGTAGCTCCCAAACATAATTAGAATGCTAGTTAACTAGCTGCTTAATTTAGGTCTTGCAAAACATTAATGATCACCTGTCTTCAAACTATGAAGCAAAGAGAAAGCTTTAATACTTACACGCAAGCTTTCCTAGCTGACTACATTTTTAATAGTAAAGTCTTACCTTTTTCCATTTCAAAGACCATTTTACCACATCTCTCCACCCTCCTTCTACGCAATCAATCTGTAGCCTCAGATTATTTTTTATTGGTTAGGTATTCATGTGTTCTGATGACTGATGTGGCTTTAATAAATTAAATTATATGCTGTTCTATAGATGGTATTGGTATGCAAGATTAGATGCATCAAATTGGAAACGGTGGCTGTAGTGCTCAAGAAAAGTTACACAAATGTACAATCCATATTAATGATGGTTCTAGATTTGGTAGTGATTCTCATGCAGATGTCACACAATTTAAGTGTACATTGTATTCACATTAGTGCATTATGTTTAGAGAATGGAAATGTGTACTATGAGTGAAATAAAAGAGATTAACCTGACAGGGGAAATTTAAATAGGACTTTCAATTATTTAACTGCTTATTTCCATGCTTTCCACATTTTAGTCAGTCTGAAATACAACCTTAACTCAAAGCTGTAAAAATGAAACCCTCAGCACTCATTCTAGTCTGTTGTGCCACTCAGTTGCACACATGAACCAAGATAGATATCTTAATAGATCATCTGAGGAGTCTTGAACTCGACTACCACGGAACTGGTTATTTTGACTCCATGCCATTCCTTTATGTCCCCCCAGACAGCACAGGGAGGTGTCAGGGCAGAGGATAGTGTTGTTAGAGCATGCAGTTCCTTAGGTAACTTTCCTGACATCTGGAAGCAGAGGGGGAAGCAGTTCCCTAACTTCTGGAAGCAAGGGGGGGCAGGGAGGGCTGTTGTTCTAAGACAACACAAAAGGAGACTGCATTGTACTTAAATTTGCACTGGAAGCCAAAATGGCTCCATCCCATACCACCTTGGGGAAGGAGGGAACAGTGTCCTGATTTATCTCATCTTACAGAACTAAATTTTTGTGGGATACTGTCCCAATTATTTTAGAAGCTATGCATAAATGCTCCAGGTTAAGGTGGATAGCCACCAATATTTATTGGTATCATCCCTTATATGTTCCCCTGACCAGCTGAAAGACTTCTGAAATGTGTTATCCCCCATTCCTCACCAGCCTTGCTTCCCTGCAAGACACCATCTTTTTCTCATAACCTCTTAATGGCCACATTTCCCTTCTACTATCACCCCAAGACATGGCCCCCAACATATCCTCAAAACAATACTAGTTAAGATCTATGCATTTTACTAATTTTGGACCCTTCGGAGAGGGGAATTTCCCTTTTGGAAATTCGGAGAGGCCTTGCAGTTTCCAGCTTATGCAACATCTTGAGTTTAAATACCCTTCCTAGTAATCATGGAACATGATATTATATATTTATAAGTATACATTTTCAGAATCCTGTGTCACAATCCAAATACGTGATGAGAGTTTCCAAAAAAAGTAGCATCAAGCAACTGACTGGATGCCCAGTAGTCTGTTTATTCTAGCCTATTGATCCTTGTTGCAATTTGCACTCTGTTTGCAAAGGGTCACAGCCCAAACTGTCAACTCTTAATAAGGAGAGTTTTACTCTTTAGGTCAGCTAAGAAGGTAATGAGAGTTCATGTAAAGGAACATAGCTAAACAGAAAAAGGAAGTGCTCCATGATGAAGACAACAGATTCAATGCAATTGAAAATATAATGGCCGGCAGGGGAAAAAAAAAATAAAATAAAATAAAGAAAACTTTCTCCTACCAATACTCTTTGGCAATTGGGAATGAAAAGGATAATATGAAGTGCCACATTAATAACGTACAAGGAGTTAATTTAATTTGGTATTTTCATTGACCCATATTAAAAAAACCCAACAACAACAGAGGGACTGAACTTTGTAGTATCGTATTGTTTGAATTGGTTTAACAGCCTGCTCTCCACATGTCCTTCCATAGTATCTGATGAAGTGAGCTTTTGCTTGAGACCTTATGCATCTGATTCAGCCTATAAGGCGCATCTCTATCCTGCATTCTGCCCGATTTTATATCTCGTAATTTTACCTTGTGTAGTTTATTCCGGTGTCCTTGCAATTTAATCATAGCTAGTGTAGCTGCAACTGCTATCTTTATTCATATAAAATTATTATCTTAAAGGTAATTTGAAAGGTAAGACTACACTAAAAATACCCAAGTTTAATTAATAAAAAAGTTATTGGTCTTTAATTCTGGGACAAGGTAAAGAATGACCTCATAATTTATTTATATATTGTTATCACAGCATTACTTCTCCTTTGCACAAACTGAACTGCAATTGCTTTCACATTGTTCAATTACCCAACTTTGTTTGGATTTCTGAATTTTCTCAATCCTTCCTAGTCTTGTCTAAACTAAATTATTATTATTATAGTTATTCAGTTACTCAGCCCCTTTTCGGGGCCTGCATTACTTCTACTGATCCTTAGGTACTTTCTTTCTTGCTTATAAGCTATTTCACCAGAATGCCTTAAGTAGATTTATTACTAATTGATTTAATTTGTTACTATATTCTCCTAACGTATATTATTAACTCTAAAAAAAAAAGATCATAAGGCCATAGTTAAAGCTCAGTGAGCATTGCCAACTATCACAATATTGATGCAACTCTCAAGATGTTTAAGGAGTCTCATTTAATATTTATTTTTGCCTAACCTGAAGTTTTGCTGTTACCTAAAATGGCTGCCATCTCACATTACTATCAATAGGAACAAAGCC